CGACTTAGTTCACTCTAGTAGACCACACCAACTTGAATGCCTTTTACCATCCGCAAAAGACCCAATTGACCCATTCGAAAAATGCGGAGTATACAAAATAGAGTGTGGCTCCTGCAACAAAGTATACATCGGACAAACCAAAAGACCCTTATCAGTAAGACTTGAAGAACACCTGAAGGAAGCAAGAGAAGCACCGAAGAAAATGAACCCCCACATAAAATCAAATGTCGCCAGACATATAGTAAAGGAAAATCACCACATCAACAGGGATAACGCCCAAATAATCAAAAATGTAAGGGATAGCTGGAAATTAGAAACGGCAGAAAGCATCGAAATACACAAACATCATATCACAACTTTACTCAACGGCGACAAAGGCAACGTGTCATCGTGCCTTTTTAGATACATCCCAAAAAACCGACAACCAGTCAACCTAACTACTTGTATGCAAAAATAAAAACCCCCAAGGACAATAACCTTAGGATTTATTAATATTAAGTTTAGTATTAAAAATAACATGTTTATGGTATAAATAGTTTGTAAGATTGCTAGATGTTTTAATATTAGGAATTCTCCTGATGAAGGCAAAAGCGAATTTGCCGAAACACGTGTAGAGATACTCAAAAAAAAAAAAACTTTCGAAATAAAAGTTAGTATATTTTAAAAAACAAAAATAACCGCATTTAAACATTTTCGAAGTAACGAAAGACATAGGTGTTATCTGTCATGTTTATGTTGACGATATAATAATATTTTCGAATAATGAGGAATCACATTTAGAACATATAATAACAATTTTGCAAAAATTAAAAAATGCTACAATGCGCATATCTTTAGAGAAATGTAAATTTTTTAAGGAAAAAACTGAATTTTTGGGTTTTGTTGTTTTACAACAAGGGATCTAACGTGTCCAGACAAGACACATGATATTATTAATTATATTATTAATTATTAATTATTATCGAGCACTACGTTCATTTTTAGGCCTATCCGGCTATTATAGAAAATTCATAAGAGATTACGCGAAAATCGCGAAACCTTTGACCCAATCTCTTCGTGGTGAAAACGACCACATAGGGAAAAATAAATCGAAAAATAAAAAAGTCATTCTAGACAAAGACTATTAGCACACCCTGACTATTCAGAACCATTCGATTTAACGACTGATGCATCATCAGTTGCTTTAGGAGCGGTTCTCTCACAGAAAGGCCGACCAATAACCATGATTTCGCGCACCCTATCTAACACTGAGCAACATTATGCCACAAACGAGAGAGAACTTTTAGCCATTGTCTGGGCTTTGAAGGCCTTAAGACACTACCTCTATGGAATAACTAATATTAATATTTTTACAGACCATCAGCCCCTAACCTTTGCTGTCTCAGACAAAAACCCTAACTCAAAAATAAAACGATGGCGGGCATTCATTGAAGAATTTGCTCCGAAATTTCATTATAAGCCTGGCAAAGCTAACATTGTAGCAGATGCCCTTTCTAGACAGTTAATGTTTAATATCTCTAATACCGAAACCGGTGGAGAAACTGTTCACAGCGAAATTTCACTTACTGAAACAATTACATCCACTAAATTTCCAGTTAATCAATTTAAAAACCAGCTGATATTAACTAAGTCAAATCATACTTTTAAGGGTAAAAAAATACTCTTTCAAAAATTCATGCGGCATTTTATAAATTTCAGTAGTATAAATAGTCTGATAAAATATCTCAAAGAGACAATAAATCCTGATACAACTAATGCGATTCATTGCAGTTTAGAAACATTAGCAGAAATACAGCATCCAATTAAAAAAGCTTTTCCTGCAGTGAAATTTATTCACTCAAAAAAAATGGTTATCGATGTGATAAACAAAGATGATCAATGTGAAATTACTAACACTGAACATAATCGAGCACACAGATCTTTACGAGAAAACTACCTCCAAATTTCCCAGGAATATTACATTCCAGAAATCAAAAAAATGATTCAGACAATAATAAGTAACTGTAAAATATGCAAAGAAAATAAATACCAAAGAAAACCTCCACACCCTAAAATAGGTAGCACACCCATACCAAACTTACCAGGCGAAATTTCACACATTGACATTTTGATCACTAATAAACAATATTTCCTCACGTGCATTGATAAATTTTCGAAATTCGCTGTTAAAATTTCAACAGCATCTCGATCTTCTCCAGATGTTAAACTTGCGCTCATACAAGTACTCTCTATATTTAAAAACACTAAAATACTCGTGTCTGACAACGAAAGTGCCCTACGGTCGAACACTATTACGACATTTTTAAGGGATCATTTTTCAATTGAACAATTTTTTGTTCCTGCCAACCATAGCGAAAGTAATGGTCAAGTGAAAAAATTTCATTCAACCCTTTTTGAAATAGCACGATATGTAATGGCACAGCAAAATATAACCAGTATAAAAGAAGTAATTTTGATATCAAACTTTAAATACAATAATAGTATCCATTCCGTAACAGGTAAAAAACATATAGACCTGCTATATGCTTCCTCACTAGTAGTGATTAAAGACAATATAGAAAAACTAAAAGAAGCTCAAAGCAAATCGCTAGAACGTTTTAACAGAAAAGCTTTAACTAAAATCTATCACCCTGGCGAAATTGTCTTTGTTAAACGCAATAAGCGAATAGGAAATAAGTTTAGTAAAATTTTTATACAGGCCACAATAGAAAGAGATTCTGGCACTACAGTACAAATTAATGGCAAAACTATTCATAAAAGTAATCTAAGATAAACACTCTATTACAGGACAGAATCGATGAATTGACTAGTATAATTAACACCATGCAGCATAATACTAACAGTAACGCTATTCATAAAGAAATCGTTTAATTTTCGAAGATATTACAGACATTGAGAACGTACAAATAAGTATAAACAATATTTTAAGTTTGGCTAAAAACAACATATTATAGAATGTTATTATAATTCTGTTATGTTAAAATTATTTTAAATTATGTTATGTTAAAATTATTTTAAATTATGTTATATTAAAATTTTCTTCCGTTGCTTACAATAAGTCTATTATAAAGTTAGAAATAAACGATTTACCAGTCTGCAGAAAAAAATTAAAACCTGTCCAGAAATGTATTGAAAATGTCGCTACCAACATCTGTTAACCAATAATTTCTTAGCGTCCCTTACAACTGTTAAATTACAATACAGGAAACTGCTATAAAAGAAATTAAAAATTGAAACGAGGACGTTTCTAATTAAGTATGGGAGGAGTTAACAGCGGATTTACTGGTGTCAGCGAATAATATATTTTTTAATAAATATTATCATATTTATTTTAATATATTATTTAACATACTTATATCAATTGTAAAATATTAATAATAAAGAATTCGTATGTAACCAATTTCCAGACACTACGTCAGCATAAGATCATATTTCTTTTTGCATTTCTATTCCTATGCTGAAGTACGTGTCGAACAGCAAAATCAATAAATGCATTTTCAGTTTTAGAAAAGCGCTTCATAGGAAGCTAACGTGTTTTATTTAATTTTGTGAGTAAAGTCTTCATAGAAGATAGAAAAATTAAATAAAATAACAATTGTGCCAAGACAATTGTTAACTTATATTTGTTAACATATTATATTTGTATAATAACATGTATATTATATACATGTTATATTTGTTAAATTTAAAGAAAATAAATAATTTAAATAAAATAATTGTGAAACTAAACTCAAGTGCGAAGTGTTTCTATAATAACTAAGGACATTTTAAAATAGTTATAAACATTTATGTTAAGAAAATTGGTAGTTTTGATTAAACAAAAATAAAAAGAAAACTCTATACAAAGAAAGAAACTTGAAATTAGAATAAAAGAATATCTACAGAGAAACAAATCAATGACTTTTCTTTTCTTGAAACATGAAAAATAGTAAAGTTTACTTAAATGAATAACCAAATAAATTATATAACTATCTAACTCGACAAACAAAAATTACAACTAAGAAAAAAAAAAGACATATACGATTAGAGTTAGTAAAAAGAAACAACTAACTGAAGTTAAATAAAAGATACAAAAGACATATACGATTATAGTTAGTAAAAAGATACAACTAACTGAAGTTAAATAAAAGATACAACATTTAGTCCAGATTTTGAAATAAAGGATACAACATTTGGCGCAGTCACGTCTTACATCACAGAAAACCACAACACATGCGTTGAAGAAGTGTGCAAGGTTTAGAACACTAAAAACAGACGCGAGGTGGGACGTAGTGCGTGAAATGAGACTATGTGGAAGATGTCTACTGCAGCATTATTTTCGAACGTGCAAGACCCGAGAGTGCGGTATACACAATTGCAACATGAAACATCACCCATTGCTACATAAACAAATAAGTTCAACTGCAAGTGGGGCAAATGAAACGTTAGCGGTTCATTATCAACTAACTTCACAAGCGCTGTACAGAATCAATAAAAAATAAGTCGAGATGGTGAATACTTTGTAGCAAGATTGCTTTGGAAATCAAATAATATTACTATGCCAGATAATTACTTAATGGCGCTGCGCAGACTTCAGTGCTTTGAGCGCAAGCTGCAATCCAATGTAACGTTGCAAAGCTGGGTGTGTGATCACATCGACGACATGAAGTCGAAAGGTTATATACGCCAGCTGAAACCTAACGAAGCCGAGGGGTATTATCCACGTAAGTGGTACTTACCTATGTTTACAGTCAGTAATCCGAATAAACAACAAAAGCGAAGACTAGTGTGGGTTGCAGCTGCACAATATGACGGAGTCTCGTTAAACGCTTGTTTGGAGAAAGGTCACTTCGTTGGAAGATGTTCTTGTTAATTTCAGAATCGGAAAAATTGGTATAAGTGGCGACATAAAAGAAATGTTTCATCGAGTACTCGTGAAAGAAGAAGATCAACATTCACAACGCTTCCTGTGAAGAAATTGTGACGATAGCAGACCCCCAGACGTTTATTTGCTACTAGTTATGAGTTTTGGGGCAACATGTTCACCATCGTTGGCACAACTGGTAAAAAGCAATGCACGCGAATACGAAACCGAGTTTCCGCGAACAGTGAAATGTATATTACAAAGGCATTATGTAGATGACATGCTGGATAGCGTCGACACAGTGGAGGAAGCGATTAATCTAGTCAATGAGGTTAGAAATATTCATAAAAAAGCAAATTTCCATATTCGCAATTGGGTTTCAAATTCTAACGCGGTGCTGAAAGCTATAGGTAACCAAGGCCAGGAATTTCAATTTTGCTCGGTCGGAAGGCGTATAGACCATACATTTGAGGTAGAGAAGGTATTGGGAATCCATTGGCAAACCGACACTGATATGCTCACATTTGATCTGAAGTTTACCAAAGCCACTGAGGATGTTTTAAGTGGATATAGATTACCTACGAAGAGAGAGTTGCTACGATTGATGATGTCAATATTCGACCCTTCAGGGGTGCTTACCTTTTACATTATTAGCGTAAAAATTTTGTTTCAAAAAGTTTGGCAAAGTGGAGTTAGCTGGGATGACTATTCCTAATGAGCTAGTCGATGAGTGGAACAAATGGCTGTCGCTGCTTGGCGGTGAGAAAAATGTGAAAATACCGAGATGTTACTTCACTACGGTTAATAAGGATTCAGACTTCATTGAATTGCATGTCTTTGTGGACGCAAGTGAGGTTGCATATGCAGCGGTGGTGTACCTAAGAGCGAAGAGTCGCAATAACATAGATGTTTCCTTGATATGTTCTAAAGCAAAAGTTGCACCATTACGACCAATATCAATTCCAAGACTGGAACTACTCGCGGCGGAATTGGGAGCACACTTAGGAAACAACATTAAAAGGTCAATAGACTTGAAAGTGACCAGTATAACGTATTGGAGCGATTCAAAGGCTTTTCTATCGTGGATAAAATCTGACCCACGAGATTACAAACAATTTGTAATGTTCCGCATAGCAGAAATCCAGGAGTTGTCCGAGGCGGAACAATGGCGGTACATTCCTACTAAATTAAATGTTGCGGACTTGGCTACAAAACAAACTAGTAATCCAGACTTTACTTGGAAAAACCCTTGGTATAAGGGACCGAAGTTCCTGTATGAAGCAGAAACCTGTTGGCCAAATAATGTTGGCGTACAGAAATATAACGAAGATTCTGAAATCAGAAAGCAACGATTGTTGGTGGCTCATGTAGCAGAGGAGGAACCTCTCATAGATGTCTACCGATTTTCAAAGTGGGAACGTTTAGTTCGATGCATGGCCTATGTGAAAAGATTTATGTTTTTACTATCAACTAATGAAATGAAAAAGAAGAAATCTGTAAACCAATGCTTGTCAGTCGAGGAACTGAAATGGAGTGAAAATTTCTTGTACCAGACAACCCAGTTACAGGATTACAAGAAAGAAATGACCGCATTAAGTAGAGACGCTAATATTACTCTTTCTAAAAGTAGCCTTTTGCGAAAACTTTCACCATACATAGATGCACAGAATGTTTTAAGAATGAAAGGTAGATTAGATAAAGCCGATGCTTTATCAGCGATGCATGCTGATTCAACCAAATTCCCAATTATACTATCAAGGAAAAACTACATAACTAAGTTGACTGGTATCATCGAAAATGGAAACATCTAAATCATGAAACGGTGGTTAACGAAATCTTTCAGAAATACCACAATCTGGGACTGCGTAGACTGTTAAAGCAGGTAAGAAATAATTGCCAACATTGCAAGGTTTGTGATGCGAGTCCAAAGCCGCCGGAGATGAGTGTGTTACCAGAAGCACGACTATCAGCATACTCCCGACCATTCTCACATGTTGGAATAGATTATTTTGGCCCGTATACTGTAACAGTAGGAAGACGCTCAGAGAAGCGCTATGGCGTCGTTTTTACATGCCTTACGTGTCGAGCAGTGTATTTGGAGATAGCTTATAGCCTGTCAGCCAGCTCGTGTTGTATAGTGATACGAAATTTCATAGCCCGAAAAGGAGTGCCGAATGTCATCTATAGTGACAATGGAACCAACTTCACAGCAGCTGAAAAGGAGTTACGAGAATCAATAGAGAACGTGGGCTTCAATGAATTGCAGGCTGAATTTACAAGTCCGGAAACACAATGGGTTTTTCTTCCACCAGCTGCGCCGCACATGGGTGGAGCGTGGGACCGCATGGTGCGATCCATAAAAACAGTGTTAGGAGCAATAATAAGCCCCCAAGCAAAAATTAATGATGAAAAGATGCATAACCTGTTCTGCGAGGTAGAATCAATCGTAAACAGCAGACCGCTTACTTAGTTGTCGATTGAAACAGCAAGCGAAGAAGCATTAACTCCGAATCATTTCTTGTTGGGGTCATCTTCCGGGAACAAGCCGCCGGGGAAGTTTGATACTAACGACGAGCACGTGAAATCCTCCTGGAGCCATTCGCAATACCTTGCCGATCGGTTCTGGAAAAAATGGATACAAAAGGTGCTTCCAACGATGACAAGACGGACGAAATGGTTTGGTAAGATAAAACCCATCGAAGCAGGTGATGTCGTCATTATTGTTGACCCAAATTTTCCTCGCTACACATGGCCGAAAGGAATTGTAATTAGTGCCATTAAAGCACGGGACGGGTAGGCAAGGAGCGCCATAGTGCAGACTACTCGAGGGCAATATCATAGACCTGCAGCAAAATTAGCCGTATTAGATGTTCGTGGAGCGGCAGTTTAGAGTAAGTCGTATTCTTATTAAAGAGATACTGGGGGAGAATGTTAGAACTCCACTCCATACCCAAAGGTTAATGTTTGTAAAATGTTTGTAAACTTGCTTTGGTCGTTGCAACCGTGCAGCTATAATTAGAAAATGCAACCCAGTGCACACATGAACTATCAGTTCATGTGTCAGCTAATTGTCATTTACGCTTGGCTTTGGTTTTTAGTTCCGGAACGCGCAGGGCGGTTGTTACGACCAAAAGTAAGTAAAAAATAGTTAATTTTAAGTACTAGAAATAAATAAGTTTTGTTTTAAGATTTTAAAGCACACACACACAACTACATTATGCTGTTAAAATTGGTCAACAACACCATATATATTAAGAATAATCGAACCCCATATACATGTGGGATAAGAATATCTAAAATGCAACTCTGCCCCTACTTTTGAGTTAACAGCTGACTTTTATTAAATGAGTAGTTGCGTGAGAAACTTGCAAACAAAAAGACGTATTTGTTTTTACGACGAAACGACGAAGAAAAGAAGTGTACAACGCGAAATTATTTCAACAACTTTTATTAATTTATACGATGCGAAATTATCTCAATAACTTTTATTAATAAACACATGCTTTTAGTGTAATATATTTAAATTATAATAATAAAACAATAATATTACCACATACATATAAAGATGAAATTTAGAAACAAGTCCAAAAATTAGTAGATGACGGCTTAGTGGAACCATCCCAGTCAGAATACATTAGCCCACTTTTACTAGTGAAGAAAAATGCATTACGTAATTTAAACGAAAAAAAAGGCGAATAGTAGTAGACTACTGTCAAATAAATAAAAAATTCCTTCAGAAAAATTTCCACAAAAGGTGGCCACTTATGCGAAAGTGATTTGGTTATGGCCTAGGCAAGCAATAAATGAACTAAGAACAAAAGTATATATTTTGGGTGTTGTCTTTAAATTGGAAACGTGCACACAACACTAGCCACAACGTACTTGACTGAGCCAGGCTAAAACAAGGTGAAGACAGTGACGGAATTTCAGTATATATCTACCGTTTTAAATAAATCAATAAAGGTGACGACCCCTAACAACATCTGTTTTAATTTACCAACGGTAGGACCACGACAGCTTGCTTGCATTGATAAATCTAAAATTTTCACTAAAAATGCGATTCATATCATAAGTGCAACAGCAGCTGCATTAGGTAATCGCGTAGAAGATCTTGTTCTCAATCGTACAACTGTTTACCTGATGAGAAAAGAAAACTGCAGAACAGCGCGTGATATTTTAAAGAATTTCGATATAAATTAATTGAAGTTTTTACTTTTTAAGTTATATTTAAGATGTTTGATTGCAGCTCCCTTAGCTTTTGTATTTCATTGGGACGGAAAACTTCTACCAGAAATTAAGGGTAAAGAAAAGATTAATCGACTAGCTCTTGTCATTACAGGAGAAAAAAACCGAAAAAATACTTGGTATTTCAAAACCAATAATAGCACTGGTAACAAAATCGCACATTCAATTAATCAATTTTTAATTACTTGGGAATTAAGCAACTTAGTTGAATTCATTTGCTCTGATACAACAAGTTCTAATACTGATATTCACAATAGTGCCGCTTTTTTTTCGAGCAGATATTGGGACGTGAATTACTTATTTTGCTATGTCGCCATCATGTTAGCGAAATATTTCTGAAAGCAGTTTTTGAATTGAATTTTGGCAGGTCATCGGCTCCAGAAATTTCAATTTTTGAGCGTTTTGTTAGGACATGGAGAGATATTGATACTAGGAACTTCAAAAGTGGAATTCAAGATGAAATTTTGCAAAACGTGATAAGCATGAGTGACATCGAAATGCATAAGTTTTGCATTTCAAACTTGAAATCTCACAAACATCGACGAAACTATAAAGAATTCTTACTGCTTTTTCTACTTTTCATTGGTGGAAATGATCCAAATTTCAAATACTTTAGCGTTTCCGGATGGTAAAATTTATGGTAAAAGGAATTTGTGTCTATAAAAACTCTAGAAGTTTTTGAAATTCAAAAAAATGAAGGAAGCGAACAAGGAACTTTTTAGACGTGTCGAAGAAAAGTTGTTAATTAGAAGTTGTTTCGTTACCTTCCTAATTTATACGCAAATGTTTAATAAGTGTTAATAATTAATTATTATAAACGATTGTAAATAATAATGAAGAGTCAATAAAGTACATTTGTATTAATATAAAGTAACACGCCACAAATGTTTCTATTTTGAGATGAATTGAAACTGATGTCAAAAGAAAAAAAAACCTCTTAATTACATACAGTATTTGTTTGCCAGCAAGAAATTGAAGTGCTACGTAGGAATTTACAACTAATTAATGATGCAATCAAGTATTTTGATAAACGAATTTCAGCGGTTTTAATAGAAAAACTTAAAAATCATTGTGGTGCTTATCAGAAGAAGCGGTCGACTTAGCATTTTTCCACTCTGAAGTTCCACTTGGCTCATATTGAAAAGCTGCTCACAAGCGTGGACCTTCAATTTGCTCATATTGAAGAGCTGCTCATGAGGTCTCACGAGCCGATAGCTCAACTGTTCAATATAAAGCGATTTATTTTTGATTAGTTTATTTGCTTTATTTATTTTTATATGCGTTACTTGCTATGTGAATTGCTATGAGCACTGGATTTAGTTGCTCAGTGGTTTTTTTATTTGATAGAATCAACATAAGTGCTGGATTGAAGTGCTCAGTATTTGCGAACAGTAGATTCCATTTGATCATATATTTGATCAAACATTTTTGGTGACCCCGTGAAAAGAACAGCAGCACTGAACTGGCCTGACGCAGCAGCGATCAGCAGTCAACATAACAGGCAATAATCAGCAAGATTTGAAGTACATTTTGAAGTACAGTTGAAGTACATTTAGCAACGATTCAATATTAAACATTTTTGACTCAAGTTAAACGATGGCAACACTTAATGAAACCCTAGACACACAGAGACGGAGGAAGAAATTTAGCGAATCGTTAGGAATTTCAAGAAAGATTCGGCTTAACATAAACAATCAGTCGCATACTACAATGAAAGGTTACGACGGCTTATTGTTGCTTGGAATCGATTTGAACACAATGAAAGAACGTTAAGAACTCTCATCGAACAACCAACAGATGATGAGTATTTCAAATCTGGTTACTATGATAAAATAAAAGAAGTAACAAATGAATATATTGAAATATTCAAGATAGAAGCCCTTCGAATCAGAGCAACAGATGAAGGTGCCAGCAACCAAATGGCGTCGCAGCCGCAACTTGTGGGTATGACTAATGGTTTAATAAGGAAAATATCTGCTTCAATGGCAAGTCTAAAAAGATTAGCAGAGAGCTTGTCGGAGAGCCAAGGCATACAGCCGATGCAATATTACGAAGTTAAATCAAATACGATCATGGAACAATGAAACCAACTGGAATGTTTGCATGATGAACCGTGTGAAAACTTGCAAAATCCACTGGCGTCAGGATTTAGTCACGAGAAATATCACCAAATTGAAGAACCAAAATTTGCTCCAGGTACTAATAAAAAAAACTTGATCTGACGATGCTCATTAGGTATGAGCAATCACTGTCAAAACCAAAAGAAATACAAAATATACAGAATTTTTCAGCCTTCTTAGAGCTACAATTTCAACTGATGGAAGTCGTAGAACAAAAAGATAGGTGACCATAAAAACTAAATCAGACCGAAATAAATCAATTTCGTCGGCTGTAACAGTTCCCAAAGGGAACAACAATTGTAAACTGTGCAATGTAGACAGGCGCCCACTTTACCATTGCCGAAAATTACTGCAATTTTCGCCACCTCAACGATTGGATTGGGTAAAAAACCAACAGCTCTGTTTCAACTATATCAAAAGTGATCATGTGGTGAACAAATGTTTAT